ATGTCCTTCGAGGGCGGCACCGCCGCGCCGCGCTTTCCTATTGGCTGGCGGCCGGCGCTCGCGCCGCCCCCCGCGCGCTCCCATTGGCTGCGAAGCTCGAGGGCGGGGCCCCGGCGCGGCCCCTCCGTGCTCCCCCCGCTGCCCCGCGCGGGGGTTCCGCCGCCCGCCAGGCCCTGGGCGCAGGTGAGGAGCGGGCCGGGATTCCCGGGAATTCCCGGGATAACGGGAATGATGGGAATGGCGGGAATGCTGGGAATCACGGGAGCGGGAGAGAGAGAGGGCAGCGGGATTACCCGGGCTGGGCGTGCTCGGGCCGCCTCGGGGTTGCTGCCAGAGCCTGGAACGAGGGAATGGGAGCGGTGGGAATTTGGGAATTTGGGAATCCGGGCTGGGAATGCGGGAATATGGGCTGGGAATGTGCGGGAATACGGGATATGCGCTGGGGGAATGTGGAGTGCAGGAATCGCGGCTCTGGGATTCGGGAATATGGGAGCTGGAATTCCTGGGAATTCCCTGAGGATTTTCCTGGAATTCTGAAGCGTTTCCTGGGAATCAGAGGAGTTTCCTGGGAATACCAGGATTTCCCTGGGAATCTGAGGATTTTCCTGGAATTCCGAGGATTTTCCTGGGAATACCAGGATTTCCCTGATTCCTGGGAATGTTGGCACTGACCCTGCACAGGGGTCCAGGAAATCCCAAATCCGTGTCCTGATCCCGTTTTCCCATGGTTTTCCTTGGTTTTCCCAGGAATGCAGCACCATGTGCCCTGTCACCCTGACCATTCCCACCAGGAACACCCCAAATCCGTGTCCTGATCCCGTTTATCCATGTTTTTCCCAGGATTTCAGGACTGTGTGCTGACAATTCCCATCCAGAACACCCCAAATCTCCGCACCATTCCCGTCCAGGAAATCCCAAATCCATGTCCTGATCCCGTTTTCCCATGGCCATTCCCACCAGGAACACCCCAAATCCCCGTCCTGATCCCGTTTTTCCATGTTTTTCCCTGTTTTCACAGGAATTCTGCACCGTGTGCTGACCATTCCCACCAGGAACACCCCAAATCCCCGTCCTGATCCCGTTTATCCATGTTTTTCCCAGGATTTCAGGACTGTGTGCTGACAATTCCCATCCAGAACACCCCAAATCTCCGTCCTGATCCTGTTTTTCCATGTTTTTCCCTGTTTTCACAGGAATTCTGCACCGTGTACTGACCATTCCCACCAGGAACACCCCAAATCCCCGTCCTGGTCCCGTTTCTCCATGTTTTTCCCGGTTGTTTTTCCCAGGAATGCAGGACTGTGTGCTGACAATTCCCACCAGGAACACCCCAAATCCCCCTCCTGATCCCGTTTCTCCCTGGTTGGGATGGGCCTTAAAGTCTCATGGAAGTGCTCCGTAAAATGTGCTGGAAGTGCAGAGTGAGCTGGATGTTCTGGTGGGAATGGGGGTAGAGTCAAGTGTATCAGTGGCGTGGAAGGTGGGAGGCAGCAGATTCCCGGGAAGCTTTGGGCTTGGGATGAGCCCAAAAATGTGCTGGGAGTGCAGAGTGGCCTGGATGCTCTGGTGGGAATGTGGGGATGTGGGAATGGAGGTGGTACCGGTAAAGTCCGTGGTAGGGTCAAGTGCATCAGCGGCATGGAAGGTGCGAGGCAGCGGATTTCCAGGAAGCTTTGGGCTTGGGATGGTCCTTAAAATCTCCTGGAAGTGCTCTGTAAAACGTTCTGGAAGTGCAGAGTGAGCTGGATGTTCTGGTGGGAATTTGGGTAGGGTCAAGTGCATCAGCGGCATGGAAGGTGCAAGGCAGGGCATTCCCGAGAATCCCTTGGGTTGGGATGATCCTTAAAATCTCCTGGAAGTGCTCTGTAAAACGTTCTGGAAGTGCAGAGTGAGCTGGATGTTCTGGTGGGAATGTGGGAATGGGAGTGGTAAGACAGTCAAGTGCATCAGCGGCATGGAAGGCGTGAGCCCGGCATTCCCCATGGGGAATCTTTGGGGTTGGGATGATCCTTAAAATCTCCTGGAAGTGCTCTGTAAAACGTTCTGGAAGTGCAGAGTGAGCTGGATGTTCTGGTGGGAATATGGGTAGGGTCAAGTGCATCAGTGGCATGGAAGGTGTGAGCCTGGGCATTCCCCATGGGGAATCTTTGGGGTTGGGATGATCCTTAAAATCTCCTGGAAGTGCTCTGTAAAACGTTCTGGAAGTGCAGAGTGAGCTGGATGTTCTGGTGGGAATGTGGGAATGGGAGTGGTAAGACAGTCAAGTGCATCAGCGGCATGGAAGGCGTGAGCCCGGCATTCCCCATGGGGAATCTTTGGGGTTGGGATGATCCTTAAAATCTCCTGGAAGTGCTCCATAAAATGTGCTGGAAGTGCAGAGTGACCTGGATGTTCTGGTGGGAATTTGGGCATGGGGGTGGCACTGGCAAGGTCTGTGACAGGGTCAAGGGCATCAGTAGAGTAGAAGGTTTTGTGGGATTGGGATGATCCCAAAAATCTCCTGGAAGTGCTCCTTAAAATGGTTTGGAAGTGGGAAGTGACCTGGATTTGGTGCTGGGAACGTGGGAGTGGGGTTTTGTGGTAGCACCTCCAGCCTTGGGATCGTCAGAGATGAGTTGAGTGGGATGGGACACAGGGAATGGCTCTCAGTGCCGGAGGGCAAGGATGGATGGGATTTTGGGAAGGAGTTCTTGGCTGGGCTGGAATTCCCAGAGAAGCTGTGCCTGCCCCTGGATCCTGGGAATGTCCAATGCCAGCGTGGAGCACCCTGGGATTGTGGAAGTGGCCTTGCCCTTGGAAGGGGCGGAATGGGGTGGGATTGAGGTTCCCTTGCACCCAACCCATTCCACAATTCCATAAAAGTCGGGAAGACCACGCCAGGGATTCCTCTGCCAGCTAAAACCACGGAATTCTGGATTTTAGTGGCAAAGGGCCCAACCCCCTCCTTCCCCGGGACTTCCCTCTAACCTCCAACCCCGCTGATGGAGCTCCCGGAATTTTGGGGTGCAGAGGAGGAATTTTCCCCTCATTCCAACGCTTTTTCCCTGTTTTTTCCGGGCAGGAGTTCCTCTCTCCACGCAGTGGGGCCCTCAGGGCTACTTCTACCCCATCCAGATCGCCCAGTACGGGCTGAGCCACTACAGCAAGAACCTGACGGAGAAGCCGCCCCACGTGGAGGTGTACGAGACGGCGGGGGACGGGAATAACGGGAACAACGGGAATAACGGGAACGGGGAGTGGACGGTGCCCAAGGGCTGCTCCCTCACCACCGTCTGGGACAAGTCCCGGCTCACCGGAGTCAAGCAGTTCTCCTGCCCAGGTGGGTGGTGGGAATTCCAGCGGGTGGTGGAGCAGGGAATGGCAATTGTTAGGTGCTGGTGTTTTGTTTGGCTTTTGTTCCCAGTCCTTGATTCCAATCCTTAATTCCCAATCCTTTTCGTTCCCAGTCCTTTTCATTCCCAATCCTTGATTCCAATCCTTTTCGTTCCCAGTCCTTTTCATTCCCAGTCCTTCATTGCCAATCCTTCGTTCCCCACCCTTTTAATTCCTAGTCCTTCATTCCCAATCCTTCATTGCAGTCTTTCATTCCCAGTCCTTCATTCCCAATCCTTTTCATATCTTATGCTTAATTTCCTGTCCTCTTCATCCTTTTCATTCTCCATTCTTTTTATTCCCCATTCTTTTTCTTCCCAATTCTTCTTTCCCAGTCCTTCATTCTCGATTCTTCATTCCCCATCCTTTTCATTCCCAGTCCTCCATTCCCCATCCTTTTCATTCCTTGTCCTTCACTGCCAGTCCTCCATTCCCCATCCTTTTCACTCCTTATCCTTCATTCCCAATCCAGTCAGGTGGAACAGCCCAGAAACGTTGAATTATTGAAGGGCTGCTCTAAAAGCTTTGGAATCCCTCCCGGGAGCGGGAACGGCCTCTGGAATCCGCTCCAACCCTTTGGAAACGGGAATCTTTCCACGCTGAGCGAGCCTTTTTCGGGGTTGCTTTTGCAGAAAGCTCCGAGGGCGTCTCCCTGGAGCTCAACAACGGCCGGGATTTCATCATCTCCTTCGACCTGAAGCTGCTGAGCAACGGCAGCGTGTCCGTGGTGCTGGAGACCACGGAGAGGAACCAGCTCTTCACCGTGCACTACGTGTCCAGCACGCAGCTCATCGCCCTCAGGGACAGGGACATCTTCTACGGCATCGGAGCGCGCGGCAGCTGGAGCACGCTCACCCGGGACCTGCTGACGGATCTCCGCAAGGGCGTGGGGCTCTCCAACACCAAGGCGGTGAAGCAAACCAAGATCATGCCCAAGAGGGTGCTGCGCTTGGTGGCCAAAGGCCGCGGCTTCCTGGACAACGTCACCATCTCGGCCACCGCCCACATGGCCGCCTTCTTCGCCGCCAGCCGCTGGCTGCTGCGCAACCAGGACGAGCGCGGCGGCTGGCCCATCATGGTCACCAGGAAGTTGGGAGAAGGCTTCAAATCCCTGGATCCGGGCTGGTACTCGGCCATGGCGCAAGGCCAGGCCATGTCCACGCTGGTCAGGGCCTACCAGCTGACCAAGGAGCCGGCGTTCCTGGGCGCGGCGCTCAGGGCCACGGCGCCCTTCAAGCTGCCGGCGGAGCAGCGCGGGGTCAAGGCGGTGTTCATGAACCGGCACGATTGGTACGAGGAGTACCCCACCACGCCCAGCTCCTTCGTGCTCAACGGCTTCATGTACTCCCTGATCGGCCTCTACGACCTGAAGGAGACGGCCGGGGAGAAGCTGGGCAAGGAGGCGCGGCTGCTCTACGAGCGCGGCATGGAGTCGCTCAAGGCCATGCTGCCGCTCTTCGACACCGGCTCGGGCACCATCTACGACCTGCGGCACTTCATGCTGGGCACGGCGCCCAACCTGGCGCGCTGGGACTACCACACCACGCACATCAACCAGCTGCAGCTGCTGGGCTCCATCGACGACGCGCCCGTCTTCAAGGAGTTTGTCAAGAGGTGGAAGAGTTACCTGCGGGGAGGGCGGGCCAAGCACAACTGAGCTCTTCCCCGTCCTTCCCGCGGTTTCCACGGGGCCTTCCCAAAAATGTGGGGCCTTAAAACTGCTCCGGGGAGGGTTTGGGATCGGGACGCTCTCCCGCGTTGAGGTTGAGGTTGGGTTTTGTTGGGATTGGTTTTGCCTTTTCCAAGGAAAGCGTTTGCAGAAGCCATAGAAGTCTTGGAAGCGCGGTCGCTGCCTGGAGAGCTCATCCAGGGCCTCTTAAACCGGGATTTTGTGTCCGTGTTGGAGCAGCTCCTGTGGGATGAGCGCCGTCCACGGGAATCACTCGGAGCCTGGGAGTGCGAAGTGTGGCTTTAAAGTGGGGGGGGGGGGTTTCCTAGGGATTCGCTTTTTTGGGATGAAAAATCCGCGGTTGGAATTTTTTGCCAGTTCTCTGCCTGGAGATCCTGGAGCTGGAGGGTTTCTTCATGGAAAACACGTGCCCGGCATCATGGAAGCACAACTGGGAGCCTGGAGCACACAGCCCCGGGCCACCAGCACCCGTGTCCCCTCGGAGCTGGGATCCCTAATCTTGGTGTCCCCTCGGAGCTGGGATCCTTATCCCCATCATCGGTGTCCCCTCAGAGCTGGGATCCTTTTTCCTGGAGCTCTGTGTTTTCTATGGGATTTTGGGATTCCACCTGGGAGGTTCCCCAGAGCATCGCGGGCATTTTCGGGAATTGCTGAGCGGGATGTGGAGCTCGTCCAGAGTTCCTCAGGAAATTCAAAAATTCGGGAATTTTCATTTTTCTCCTGCTCCACCCCATCCAGCATTTTAACAATTCCTTCCCAGAGGTTTTTCCAGTTCTCCCTGGGCTGGAATTCCCAGAGAAGCTGTGGCTGCCTCTCGATCCCTGGAATGTCCAAGGCCAGCTTGGAGCAGCCTGGGACAGTGGAAGGTCCCTATGGAATGGGATGAGCTTTAAGGTCCTTCCCTCCAAAGCATTCCGTGATTCCATGAACCCACCGGCTGCCTGATCCCGAACTCAAGGATGGACTTTGGGAATTCCCACTGCTTCCATTCCATGGTGGAGCTGATCCCAATCCCAAAATCCCAGGCACAAGGACAACACCCATCTCCATCTTTTTATTGCTTTCAATTTTTGAGGCTTTTCCTTCATTTCTCACCGATCTCGGAGTGACTTTTTCCCAGCTTTAATCCGCGCGCTCCGGTCGGATCCATCCGTCTGATGGATGGCAGAGGAGAAATTCCAATACCAAAGGTAGCAGAGGGGAATTTTTTCCATGCCCATGGAAACTCAACAGACACAAACCCACCCCAAACCTGGGATTCCTTCCCAAAAATCTGCTCCATCCTCCCCTTGCGTGTTCCTTCCATAGTTTTCCCAGTTGGAAAACTCGGAGAGCCTCCTTGGGTGCTGCTCCAGGATGGTGTTGGTGCCTTACAGAGGCCGGAATTCCTCTTGATTGGGTTTTTTGGGAATTGATGCCGATGGTGGGGTTGGAGTGCAGCAGATTTTCCCGCTCCGGAAGCGCTCGGAAGCGCGGGATGGGCATTCCAAGGTTGTCCCTCCTGTCCCACCTCTCGTCCTTCCATCACCTTCTGGTGGCCTTAGACAGGTGGAGCTTCCAGGAATCCCCAGAGGCTGTAAGTCCATGGAGGATCCATGGGGATATTCCTGATATTCCCTGAATTCCGTTGTGCATTGGGAGAGGATCCTTGACCGTGCTGGCAGTGCCCAGAACTTCATGGAATTCATTCCAGTTTGGGATCTTTTTGTTCATTTTCCGCCTTTAAACTCCCAAAGATCTTTGGGACCAAGATCAGCTTTGACCCCAGATTTTCCTCTGGAGATCCATTGGCTCTTCCCATGGGATCCTTTCTCCCTGGACACCGCTGGAAGTTTGGGATGGGCATTCCAAGGTTGTCCCTCCTGTCCTTCCGTCACCTTCTGGTGGCCTTAGCACAGGTGGAGCTTCCAGGAATCTCCACCAGAGGCTGCAGTTCCATGGAGAATCCATGGGGAATTCCTGATATTCCTTAAATTCCATTGTGCATTAGAAGAGGACCCTTGGCCATGGAGCCGATCCCCAAAACTTCTGGAATTCATTCCAGTTTAGGATTTCTTTGTTCATTTCCATCTTCAAACTCCCAGAGATCTTTGGGACCCAGATCAGCTTCGATCCCAGATTTTCACCCGGAGATCCGCTGGCTCTTCCCATGGGATCCCCTCTCCGTGGCTCCCCCACCCCAACAACACAAGCACAACCCTCCCTGGGATCCAGGCATTCCCTGGAATCCAGGCATTCCCTGGAAGCCGCTCATTCCCGTTCTCCTCCTCCCCGGGCGTGGCTTGGCTGGGATTTTGTTGGATTTTCCGGGATTTTCCCGAGGATCCCGATGGAAAATATGCAATAATTTGTTTACAGGATGCTCCGGGCAGGGCGCTCCTTTAAGCACAATGTGCACAGGATAGTTTTGTATTCCGCCCCTCCGGAATTTTTGGCGGGAAGAGGTTCTCCTACGTTTCTATGGGACATTGGGAATGCTTGGAAAGCTTTCTAAGACTGGGAAATAAATTTTTTTATCTTAAAAAAAAAAAACAAAACGTGGGATGTCTCCCTTATTTGGGGATTTTCCAAGTATTTTATTTTCCAAATGTATTCCAAGTTTTTTTTCCTGTGGTGGCTTTGAGGTGTCGTGCTTTTAAGGAGGTTTTCTTCTGGAAAAGTGGGAAATTGTGGGTTTTTCCCATTAATTAAGGCTTTGCTGAGGGAATGAGCACAAGTGATGGATTCCTGCTGGGAATTATTCCTGGTAAATCCAGCTCCTTTGGAGTTTTTTGGGATTTGGTAAATGAGGATTTTAACGGAGCGGTCACTAAAAATATCCCACTGTTGGGAATGGGGAAATGCAGCTCCAGGGAATTCCAGAGCCCCTTCCAGGAATCCAGGGAGAGCTGGAGAGGGATTGGGATCAGGGATGGAGGGGCAGGACACAGGGAGTGGCTGGAAAAGTGGAGATTTAGATGGATCTTGGGAAGGAATTCCCGTCTGGAATGGAATTCCCAGAGAAGCTGTGGCTGCCCCTGGATCCCGGGAATGTCCAAGGCCGGGTTGGAGCACCCTGGGGTAGTGGGAGGTGTCCCCGCCCATCCCACCCAAAATATTCCGGGATTCTCCCGAGTGATTCCCATTCCTTGGCACGTTGGGATTGAAAAGAGCCTTGGAGCATTGCTGAAGGTGGGAAGGGAATTCCAGAGCCCCAGGAAGCTGTGTCCAGGGAAAAGCTGTGTCCCAGTGCTGGCAGGACAGGGTTAATCCCAGGAATTCCCAGGAGTTTCCCGTGGGATTGAAGTTCGGGATAGAGCTGGGAATCCACCAGCCCTGCCCAGCTCCGCTTCTCCCAATTCCTGAGTAACTATGGGATAATAATTAATAATAATTAATAATAATACTTAATGAACTGATCCCGCTCATCCCTCTCCACCCCGCTGGAATCTCCCGCTCTCCGAACTTTGGGAAAGCCATTCCCAGCGAAACACTGCAGGAAAAGCAGAGAATTTTTGGGAAGCAGAACGGGAAACCCGCCGGGCTGGGATTCATTCCCATCCAGCTGGGAATAATCCGGGAATGAGCAGCGGCGGGAGGGCTGGGATTGCCAGGCTGCTCTGGAGGAGCTCCGGGAGCTTTCCAGAGGCGCTGGGAGCGGGAGATGCTCGGCAGGGCTGGGAATTGATATTTTTTCCTGCTTTTTTTCCACTTCCTCGCCGCTGGATCCGATCCCGGCCGCGTTTGGCCGCGCTGATTTCCGGGTTTATCTGGGAACCTTTTTTCCTCGGACGAGCCGGGGTTCATTCTCTCCCAGAACCTGGGAATTGCCGGCTCTGGGATCATCCCTGGGGGCGCTTCCTGGCGGGATCGTGCCTCTGGAAAAGCCGCGCCCGCCCGGCCGGGAATTCCATGTGGGCAGTGTTTGTTCCCAGCTGAGTAATCCCGGGATTTGGAGGCAGCGCTGGAAAACGCCGCATCCAGCGGCGGCTCCGAGCAGCGCCGTAAGTCCCGGCTTTCCCCTCTCCGGCATTCCCGCGGATCCCGAGGGTCGGCTCCCGGGAAGTTCGGGAATGCGGGAATGGGAATGGGAATGGGAAAAGTGCCGGAGCAGCGGGAGCATTCCCGGCCCTCCCGCGGCTCCCGGTGCGGGGATCGCGGAATTCCCGGGAGGTTTCACTCGGGAGCGGGATGGGGTCTGGGATCCCCGGTCCCGCGGGAAGGACGGCTGGGAGCGGCGGGTTTTTGGGATGGAAAAGCTGCTGCTCCCGGCGGATCCCGGCGAATTCCAGCGGCAACAACAACAACAACTCCCACAAAGCCGCCGTTGTCCCGCCGGGAGCGGTCCTGGCACGGCCCGCGCCGCTCCCGGAGTTTTCCAGCGCTGCTCCCGCACTCCCGGCGCCGCTGGAAACGCGTCCGGGGCTCATCGGGAATTCCCGAATATTCCCGGCCCGTGGGAAAGCCGCTGGAGCTGGCACGGAGCGAGGGATGAGCCAGGGGGTGGGATGTGCCATGGGGAAGGATATTCCATAGGGAAGGATGTGCCAAGGGAAGGGAAGGGAAGGGAAGGGAAGGGAAGGGAAGGGAAGGGAAGGGAAGGGAAGGTGCCATGGGCAGAGGACGGTGACAAGGTGACAGGGCCGGGCGGGTGGCAGTGGTGCCAGGTGGGGACATCGGTGCCAGGTGGGGACATTCCCCAGGGAAGCCTGGGGTGAGCCGGGAGCTCCCGGGCCGGAGCTGCGGCTGCAGGGCCGGGAGGGAGAGGAGGAGGAGGAGGAGGAAATTAAGGAGGAGGAGGAAGAAGAAGAGGAGGAAGAAGAGAAGGAGGAGGGGAGGAGGAAGAGGAGGAGGAGGAGGAGGAAATTAAGGAGGAGGAGGAAGAAGAAGAGGAGGAAGAAGAGGAGGAGGAGGAGGAAGAGGAGCTGTTGCAGCCACCTGAGCGCAGCCACAGCGCTGGCAGAGGTGACTCGCAGGGGGCACGGCCCCCATCCTGTCCCATTCCCATTCCCATTCCCATTCCCATTCCCGTTCCCGGCTGGGAAGAGCCCGAGCAGGAGGAGGAGGAGGAGCAGGAGGAAGCAGGCCCGGCCCGGCCCGGCCCCAGTGACTCACTGCCCTCATTGCCTCCCAAACCACAAATTCCTGCCTGAGGCTGGGCCTGGAGCCTCCTCCTGCTTCCCACAGGGAACAGGGAATGGGAACAGGGAACTGGGAACTGGGAGCAGGGAATAGGGGCAGAGAATAGGGAATGGGGAACAGGGAATGGGAACAGGGAATGGGGAATGGGGAATAGGAACAGGGAACCAGGAGCAGGGAACAGGGAATAGGGGCAGGGAATAGGGAATGGGGAACAGGGAATGGGAACAGGGAATGGGGAATGGGGAATAGGAACCAGGAGCAGGGAATGGGGAAGGGATCCCTGCCACAGGAATGGCTGGGCTGGGATGGATCCAGGTGCTCCCGGCTCAGGGATCCCATCCAGGGGCTCTGGGCATGGTGGGATCCTGCACCTGGGAGGGGCCTCTGGAAAAGTCCAAGCCTTTGGAATGGCTCGTGCCTCTGGAAGAGCTCGTTCCTTTGCCCTCCGAGAATCCCAGAATTCCAGAATTCCAGGTCAGAAGGGCCCTCAAAACTCATCTCATTCCAGCCCTGGCCATCGCAGGAATCCTTCCATGAGCAGATTCCAGCCTGGCCTTGGACATTCCAGGGATCCAGGGGCAGCCACGGCTTCTTTGGGAATTCCATACCTGCGCCTCCCCACCCTCCCAGCCAGGAATTCCTAATTCCCAATCTCCCATCCATCCCTGCCCTCTGGCAGTGGGATCCATTCCCTGTGTCCTGTCCCTCCAGTCCCTCTCCAGCTCTCCTGGAGCCCCTCCAGGCCCTGGCAGGGCTCTGAGCTCTCCCTGGAGCCTTCTCTGGATTCAGGTCCTGTTTCCACCATGGAAAACTGCAGGAATTCTGTGGGATCTGGGGGCTGCAGACTCTGTGGAGCTTTGAGGCAGCACGTTGGTGCTTCCAGAGCGCTGGGAAGCCCTGGATTCCTCATTCCCCATTCCCCATTCCCCATTCCTGATTCCCCATTCCCCATTCCCGTCTAATCTTTAACCGGAGGCGTTTCCAGCGGGGTTTTGTTGGTTCATTGCTCTCCTGCCTCATTAATTTTTCCCTCCCTCTCCAGCCGTTCCCGGTGTTCCAGGGCTTTTCCTGGAGCTGCCTCACACCGGAGCTGGCAGAGGTAGGGCTGGGATGGAATCCAGGGAATTCCAAGGGCTGGGAAAGGGGTTCTTTGGGAATGTCTCCGTGGCACAGCCAAGGGCTGGATCCCGCTGGGAAGTTGGGGTGGCTGGAGCAGCTGGAATGGCCGCCCAGGATGCTGCAGCGGCTCTGGGAGCTCTCGGGATTCTGGGAATCCAGAACCTTGGATCCCTCTGGATCCTGGTGGGATCGAGCTGAGGCAGCACCCGGAGCAGGAGCTCCCTTCCCGCTTTTCCTGCTCCGGGTGGGAAGGAAGGAGGGATCATGGATTTTTCCCTTGATTTCCCAGAGCGGAGGTGGAGCTGCCAGCGCCAGGATCGGGTAAGAGCCAGAGCCAGGATATTCCTTGGGAGCGGGAAAGGGGATCCAGCTGGGATCCCGTATCCCTCTGCTTCCCGAGGGACCTTCCTGCATCCCAGGACCTCGGTGTGATCCCGAGGTGATCCCACATCCCTCTACATCTGTTGGAATTCCCATCCCTCTGGGAAGTGGGATCAGCCTTCTCCTGCTGCTCCCTTGGGATCCCAGCACCCCTCAGGGGACGGGCGCTCCCCACCCCGCTGGGATACAATTCCCTGTAGGATTTGGGATATGGGACTGGATCCCGTGCCTCATCCCAGGAATTCTCATTCCCTCCAGGCCGTCCTGATCCCGGTATCCTGTGGGAGCAGTGCCATTCCTGCGGGATGTGGCCTTGAGGGCTTTGGGGTGCCGTCCTGTGGAAGCTGAGCTGGGAAATCCCGGGATCCAGAGCCGGCCATGCCGAGCCCCACGGCCCGGCTGCTCCGCGCCCACCAGGTGCCCGAGGTCAGCGGGAATTCCATCCCTGATCCGGGGATCAGCGGGATTTGGGATGTGACACACGGGAACGGCGGCAGGGTCACCCCAAGGGGGGCACAGCTGTGTCTTGACTCCGGAATTTTGGGGATGCTCCCCATCCTTTCCCATTTCCCATTCCCCATCCCCGTTCCTGTTCCCGTTCCCATCCCCATCCCTATCCCCATTCCCATCCATAATTCCAATTCTCATTACTCCCATTCCTGACCCTGTGCCTTTTCCCATTCCCATTCTTCCCATTCCCATCCCCATTCCCATCCTCATTTCCATTCCCATTATCCCCATTCGTCCCATTATTCCCATCCCCGTCCCCATTCCCATTATTCCCACTATTCCCATTATTCCCATTATTCCCGTCCCCGTCCCCATTCCCAGAGTTACCGGGAGCCGGGAATTCTCTCCGGGTACCGCCCGCCCCGGAGCTCGGCCTGCGAGTGCCTGCTCAGCCTCTTTGGGATGAACAACGAGACCCTCAACATCTGGACACACCTGGTGCCCGCCGGGTGAGTGCCCGCGGCCCTGGCACACCTGGGGGTGCCCCTGAACACCTGGGCACACCTGGGGTGTCCCTCAGCCCTTGGGAACACCTGGGGGTGCCCTCAAGACACACCTGGGCACACCTGGGGGGGGTCCCCTCAACACCTGGACACACCTGGTGGGTGTCCCTCAACATCTGGGCACACCTGGTGGGTAACCCTCAGCCCCTGGGCACACCTGGGCACACCTGGGCACCCCTGGGCATGCCTGGTGGGTGCCCTCAGTGCCTGGGCACGCCTGGAGGTGCCGTCAACATCTGGGCACACTGGGGCACACCTGGTGGGTGCCCCTTAACATCTGGGCACACCTGGGCACACCTGGAGGTGCTGTCAACATCTGGGCACACCTGGGCACACCTGGAGGTGCTGTCAACATCTGGGCACACTGGGGCACACCTGGTGGGTGCCCCTTAACACCTGGGCATGCCTGGTGGGTGCCCCTTAACATCTGGGCACACCTGGGCACCCCTGGTGGGTGCCCTCAGCCCCTGGCCCACCTGGGCACCCCTGGCCCACGCCTGTTGCCCACCCGGCGCTGACCCCCGGCCCATCCCTCCCTCAGGTATTTCCTGTGGCTGCTGCTGGCGCGGCTCCGGGACTGGGGCTCGGAGGCCGGGGCGGGGCCGTTCCTGGCCTACCTGGGCACGTGCGCGCTGTACCCGCTGGCCTCGAGCGCTGCCCACGCCCTGGGCGCGCTGGGCGGGCGCGGCCGGCACCGCGCCTACTGCTGCGACTACGCCGCGCTCAGCCTCTACGGCCTGGGTCAGCCGGGAATGACGGGGAGTGTGGGGTTTGGGGGATGCAGGGGGATTGTGGGGTTTGGGGGATGCAGGGGGATTGTGGGGTTTGGGGGATGCAGGGGGATTGTGGGGTTTGGGGGATGCAGGGGGATTGTGGGGTTTGGGGGATGCAGGGGGATTGTGGGGTTTGGGGGATGCAGGGGGATTGTGGGGTTTGGGGGATGCAGGGGGATTGTGGGGTTTGGGGGATGCAGGGGGATTGTGGGGTTTGGGGGATGCAGGGGGATTGTGGGGTTTGGGGGATGCAGGGGGATTGTGGGGTTTGGGGGATGCAGGGGGATTGTGGGGTTTGGGGGATGCAGGGGGATTGTGGGGTTTGGGGGATGCAGGGGGATTGTGGGGTTTGGGGGATGCAGGGGGATTGTGGGGTTTGGGGGATGCAGGGGGATTGTGGGGTTTGGGGGATGCAGGGGGATTGTGGGGTTTGGGGGATGCAGGGGGATTGTGGGGTTTGGGGGATGCAGGGGGATTGTGGGGTTTGGGGGATGCAGGGGGATTGTGGGGTTTGGGGGATGCAGGGGGATTGTGGGGTTTGGGGGATGCAGGGGGATTGTGGGGTTTGGGGGATGCAGGGGGATTGTGGGGTTTGGGGGATGCAGGGGGATTGTGGGGTTTGGGGGATGCAGGGGGATTGTGGGGTTTGGGGGATGCAGGGGGATTGTGGGGTTTGGGGGATGCAGGGGGATTGTGGGGTTTGGGGGATGCAGGGGGATTGTGGGGTTTGGGGGATGCAGGGGGATTGTGGGGTTTGGGGGATGCAGGGGGATTGTGGGGTTTGGGGGATGCAGGGGGATTGTGGGGTTTGGGGGATGCAGGGGGATTGTGGGGTTTGGGGGATGCAGGGGGATTGTGGGGTTTGGGGGATGCAGGGGGATTGTGGGGTTTGGGGGATGCAGGGGGATTGTGGGGTTTGGGGGATGCAGGGGGATTGTGGGGTTTGGGGGATGCAGGGGGATTGTGGGGTTTGGGGGATGCAGGGGGATTGTGGGGTTTGGGGGATGCAGGGGGATTGTGGGGTTTGGGGGATGCAGGGGGATTGTGGGGTTTGGGGGATGCAGGGGGATTGTGGGGTTTGGGGGTTATGGGGGATTGATGGGATTTGGGGAATGCCAGGGGGATTGGTGGGATTTGGGAGTTTTCCAAGATTATTGATGGGATTTGGGGATTACAGGGGGAATGGATGGGATTTGGGAATTCCAGGGGGTTTATGGGATGCGGGAGTTCTGGGGGGACTGATGGGATTTGGGGAATTCTGTGGGGATTGATGAGATTTTGGGAATTTGGGCAGTCAGGAGGAGGTGGGAGAACCTGGGTTTATGGGATTTCGGGAATTTAGACTGGATCTGTGGGATTTTGGGAATTATGGGGGACGGGATGAGCCCGGATTTATGGAATTTTGGGAATTTAGCCCAGATTTATGTGATTTCAGGAATTTGGTGGGTCAGGAGAAGCTGGGATAGGCCAGATTATGGGATTTTGGGAATTTAGCCTGGATTTATGGGACGCCACATCCAGAGGGAAGATTTGGGGGAAATTCCTGCCCTTCCTTTTCCTCATCCCTGCACTCCAGAGCTCAGGAATGGCCTGGAGCTGCCCTGGCCACAAATAATTTGGGACAGATCTGGCTGGGTGGGATTTGGAATAACAGGAATGATGAAAAATCCCAGATTTTACCCAACTGGAGGAGCCTCCCTGGGAGCACGAGGCAATCCCAGGATATTCCCACAGTCCCTCTGGAATGCTGCCTGTTCCAGAGGTTCCCGACCCTTCCCGATGTTCCAACCCAGAGCTCAGAGCTGAGCCCAGGAGGATGAGGAATTGCAGGGGAATTCCAGGGAATTCCGGGATTCGGAGCTGACGGTCCCGCTGTGTTTCCAGGCTCGGCGCTGGCGTATTCCGCCTACGTCTTCCCACTGGAATGGGTCGGGAGCACATTCCATGATTTCTACGTTCCCGTGGCCGTGCTCAACTCCGTGCTCAGCACTGGGCTGTCCTGCTATTCCAGGTGGGATCCAGCGGCACCGGGAATTCGGGATGAGGGGTTTGCTCACAGCCGGGAGCTGGGGAAAGGGAAAGAGGGAATTTTTCCACTGGGAAATGAGGAGAATTCGATGATGAAAATGTGGAATAATGGGAGGAGCTTGAATTTTTGGGAAGTTCCAAAGGGGATTTATGGAATCCTGGAATGGTTTGGATTGGGAGAGAACTTGGAGATGATTCAGGTTCACTATCCCAGGTTCCCAGAGAAGCCGTGGAATTCCCTGTGTATCCCATGTGGAATTCCCTGTGTATCCCATGTGCAATTCCCTGTGTATCCCATGTGGAATTCCCTGTGTTTCCCCGTGTATCCCCTGTGGAATTCCCTGTGTTTCCCTGTGTATCCCATGTGGAATTCCCGGTGTTTCCCAGGTTTCTGGAGGCGGAGCGGCCCCGCCTGAGCAAAGCCTTCCGAACTTTGGCCTTTGTGTATCCCTACATTTTCGACAGCATCCCAGTTTTTTACAGGGTGCGTATCCCACGGAATCCTGGGAAATTTCAGCTGCCTCAGCCTGGAATTTTTTGGGAAAACAGGCCCAGCTTGGGGTTTGAAAGGCAAACAAACTCCGGCAGGAAAAGGCCCTGGGATATTTTTTCCTGCTTGGACTGCTGGCGGATTCCTCTCACTTCAAAGGGCTGGAAAATTCCTGCCTTGGGAAGCTGGGAGGGGCCTTTTCCAGGGATTAAACTGCAGCAGGGTGGGAATTTGGGCCGGCAGGAGTGGAGGTGATGGGTGTGGGGAACTGGGAATGGCTCCTTGGGACTGGTGGATCAATCCTGCTTTTTCCTGGGAAGCAGGGTTGGAGTGGGGCTGAGGGGAGTGGGGAACTGGGAATGGCTCCTTTGGGATGGATGGATGGATGGATGGATGGATGGATGGATGGATGGATGGATGGATGGATGGATGGATGGATGGATGGATGGATGGATGGATGGATGGCATGGATGGATTGAAGAATTCATGGATGGATGGATGGATGATGGATGGATGAGGGATGGATGATGGAGGGATGGATGATGGATGGACGGATGGATGATGGATGGATGAGGGATGGATGATGGAGGGATGGATGATGGATGGATGGATGGATGGAGGGATGGATGGAAGGATTCATGGATGCATGGATGGATGGAGGGATGGATCACTCCCATTTTTGCCGGCAGCTGTCCCGGAGCGCGGCCGGGAGCTGCTCCGAAGGCTCGCTCCCGCTGCATTCCCGGCACAGCCTCTGCGCCCTCCTGACCTTCCTGAGCTTCACCTCCCACCTGCCCGAGCGCCTGGCGCCGGGGAGCTTCGACTTCATCGGTGAGCATTGCTGGGAACGCTGGGAATAAACCCCGGGAATGCTGGGAATGAACCCAGGGAATCCCGGGGACGAACCCAGGGAATCCAGGGAATAAACCCTGGGAATGCTGGGACTGAACCCCAGGGAATCCAGGGAATAAACCCCGGGAATGCTGGGAATAAACCCCAGGAATGCTGGGAATGAACCCCAGGGAATCCAGTGAATAAACCCCGGGAATGCTGGGAATAAACCCAGGGAATCCCGGGGACGAACCCAGGGAATCCAGGGAATAAACCCTGGGAATGCTGGGACTGAACCCCAGGGAATGACCCCAGGGGAATGCTAGGAATAACCCCATGGGATCCCAGGAATGAACCCAGGGAATGCTGGGAATAAACCTCATAGAATCACAGGAATAAACTCCTTGGAGCCGCGGACATTGGGAATAGGAATTACAAGGAGGATAAAACCCCAGGAATCAGGAATTTGTGGGATAAATATTCCATGGATGCCAGGTGAAGTGGGCTGAGCGTGATTCAATCCTGGAATCCTGGAATTCCAGGATGTTTGGATGGGCAGGGACACCTCCCACTACCCCAGAGCACTCCAAGCCCCCAGAGCTGAACACCCCCGGAATTTCCATGGAATTTCCATGGAATTCTCAGAGTTTTCTGTCGCAGGGCACAGCCACCAGGTTTTCCACATCTGCGGGATCCTGGGAACGCTCTTCCAGCTGGAAGCCATCTCCATGGACATGGCGGAGCGGCGGGGCCGCCTCCCGCTTCCCTCTTCCCTGGAAACCTTCGGATCCCTGGGAATGGGAGCGGCCGCCAGCCTGGCCATCCTCGGGGTCTGCTTCCGCAGCCTCCGCCCGGAGCCTCCTTCCCGGGAAAAATCCCACTAGAATCAGGGATTGCCTCGGGTTTCCGGCAGCAGTCCCATTCCAGAGGTGTCCATGGGGGAATTGAATCACCTGGAAATATTTCTTTGGGAATTTCCCAAGGGAAAACTACACCGGTTTTATACGTGGATGGGCTGGGAAACGCTTCCCATCCCGTTGTTATCCACAGGGAAAGCGTCGAATAATCAGGATTTGATCCCTGAAAAGGGAGGGAAGCACTCCTGCTTCCCAAAGAATCTGGGATCCCTCAGGTCTGCCTTGGGGAGAAATCCAGGGAATGTTGGCATTGCCAGCTGGGAGATTCCCGGTGAAGCCAAGCACTCCCTGATTCTCATTTTCCCCTTGGATGGATGTGGCATTCCTTTGGAATTCCGAGCCTTGCACTCAGCCCAAGTGCCTGGAGAGGTGGGATGGAGGGACTGGAGTTTCCCTCCCGGTTTCATTCCCACTGGTTTTACTCTTTATCTGGGAAAAGGGATTCCAGGAGAGCTCCAACGGGATGTTCCCGCAGGAAAGCTCTTCCAGGGTCTCATTCCGGGAAATCCGGAGGAGTTCAATGCTGTGGGAATTCCCAATTTCCACAGGGAGGGATGGAATTAAGGAATTCCATCCTGGATCCTGGGATTGGGGGTGGGAGATGGGAGAGCTCCACACCCCAGCTTTGTGGGATTTGGGATCCTTTAGGAAAAGGTTTTGAATGTTTTGGGATTGGGATTTGTGAGGAGATGCCAGGAGAAAAGCAGGATTTGGGACAGCTCAAGGGTTAAAAGCACCCTGGAATTGTAAAGAATTCCCAGGATTTTCCCTCTGCCATTCCCTGTTTTCCTTCCCTGCTGCTCCTGGATTTTGCAGGAAGAGCCCAGAGCTCCAGGCTTTTCCAGGATCCAGGATTTCCCTGTGGGAACACAGCACACACTTTATTCTTTGGGAATATTTTCCTGGATAATCCCACGGCTCTTCCATTAATTTCCTTTAATTGCCTTTGCCGAGGTCTGACTGCTGCACTTTGGGAGCTGCTGGAATTTGGGATATCACAATAAAATCTGGGATGAACGGGTTAAATACGGGATAAATCAATCCTTGGGAATGCTGAGCGGGATTTTCAGGATATTTATAAGCACTGGAATTGTTTTTCTCCAACGGTTTTATTAAATTAATATAAATCACTGATTTTATTCTGCTTAATAATAAAAATATTCCTGGGAAAATGAATTCTTTTGGAGATCATTGCTGATAATTCCAGAGTTTATTTCCTTTGGGAGCTGCTGTGACCGGGGAGGAATCCGCCTGGGATTGGAGAGCCTGGAAAAACACCGGGAATCATCCCAGAATTATTCCAGCTCGTTCAGCTTTTGAACTGAAATCCTCCCGTCCTCTCCAGTGCCGGAATTTTAGGAACACTGCATTCCAAAGGGGATGGAATGCCAGGATTCCACAGGATCCTCTGGCTGAACCCGTGGAATGGGTGATGCTGGATCTTGGAGCGGCACAGGGAGAGGATTTTTCCGGCTTTTTACCAAAAATCTCTGGATTTTCCTCAATTCCCTTCCCAGGAGAAATGAAAGCTCTGTGTCCAGTCGTTCCAAGGAAATAAACCGGGATATTTATTGGTGGAATGTTGATCCATGCCAAATCCCAAAGGAGTTTGGGATGAAATTCCAGCACACCTCCCTCATCCACCTAAGCCACATGGATTTGGAAAAGCTGGAAAAAAAGCAGGAATTTCAGGCTCCTCCAGGTGATTTTATCCCTTTTTAAAAAAATATCCTTGAAGTGCCTTGTGGAAACATTCAGGAATTTGGGCTAAAAATGGAAATTCCCTGGAATTTAAGAGGAATTGAATCCCTCTCCCCAGTTCCCCATTGGAATCCATTCCCTGGGAAGGAAGTTTGCTTTTCCCTGGACTTGTTCTGCCGGATTTTTCCCACGTGTCCCAACACCACATTTCCACTGTTATTTTCCACCACGGATCATTTCCCACAGGTTGGGAATTAACTAATTTCCATCGGGTTGGGAATTAACTCGTTTCCTACAGGTTGGGAATTATTTCCAACAGGTTGGGAATTAACTCATTTCCAACAGATTGGGAATTCACTCATTTCCACTGGGTTGGGAATTAACTCATTTTCTACACATTGGGAATTAACACACTTTCCACACGTTGGGAATTATTTCCAGCAGGTTGGGAGTTCACTCATTTTCCACAGATTGGGAATTCACTTGTTTCCATTGGGTTGGGAGTTAACTGAGCGACTGATTTGCCTCCAGGCAGGCACACAGGGAAGCCCTGGCCCTGCAAACGGTCTGCATTCCACCGGTTTTCCTGAAAGATTGAAATTAGGTGGATAAAAAGCGGGGGAAAAAAACCGGGATCTGCCGGAGCCGGGATTCGAACCCGCGTCCCTCTCCACCACCGCCACCAGCAGGGGGCGCCCGCGCCCCGGGCCGCGCCCCTTTCGGCGTCGCCATGGTGACGCGCCGTGCGCGGCGACGTCAGGCGGCGGCCGCGCGCGCTGATTGGCCGGATTTGAATCGCGGCAGGCGCGCGGCCGCCGCCCGGTGCCAGCCCCAGCCCCGCAAGCGCGAGCCCCGGGCCCTGTCGCGACAGCGGCGGCACCCGCGACATGAAGGCGGCGTGAGTGGCTCCGCAGCCCCGGGCGGGCACGGGAGGGCTGGGGGGACCCTGGGGGCACCCTGGGGGCACCCTGGGGGGCGGCGGGTCCGCGCGGGGCCGCCCTGCATGGCGCCCTCAGCTCCGTCCCGCTTCCTTCGCCATCCCGGCGCTCCCGTTCTCCCGGCGCTCCCGTTCCCCCGATATTCCCGTTCTCCCGGCGCTCCCGTTCTCCCGGCGCTCCCGTTCCCCCGATATTCCCGTTCCCCCGGCGCTCCCGTTCTCCCGGTGTTCCCGTTCTCCCGGCGCTCCCCTCCCGTCCTCCCGGCTGTCTCCCCGCTCGCCGTTCCCCGGCCGTTCCCGGTCCCCTCACGCTCTCTCCCCTCAGCAGGGCCAGGACGCCGCGGAGGCCGAGGAAAGGCACGAACCCCACGCAGAAGGACCCGGTGGGGGTGAGTGCCGGCGTCGTCCCGAGCTCCCCGATTCCCACCCCGCCGAATTCCCGGCTTTGTGGCCGGGCTCGTCCCGTGCTCCCCGATTCCCACCCCGCCGAATTCCCGGTTTTATGGCCGGGCTCATCCCGAGCTCCCTGAATCCCACCTCGCCAAATTCCCGGTTTTATTGCCGGCTTCATTCCCGGGTTTATTCCCGGGTTTATCCCGGTTCTCGCTCATTCCCACCATCTCATTCCGCGTTTATTCCTGGTTTATCCCGGTTTCGCACTCCCAGGTTCATTCCCAGGTTTATTCCCGGTTTGTCCCTGTTTCCCGATCCCAGCTGTACTGCAGGGTTCATTCCCAGATTTAATCCCGGTTTGTCCCTGTTTCCCTCATTCCCAGATTCATTCCCTGGTTTTCCCCCAGCCCAGCTGTACTGCCCGGTTTATTCCCGGTTCATTCCCGGTTTTCCCCCCTCCCAGGTGTTCTGCCCGGTCCATTCCCGATCCGCTCTCGGTTCATTCCCGGTTTTCCCCCCTCCCAGGTGTTCTGCCCGGTCCATTCCCGATCCGCTCTCGGTTCATTCCCGGTTTTCCCCCCTCCCAGGTGTTCTGCCCGGTCCATTCCCGATCCGCTCTCGGTTCATTCCCGGTTTTCCCCCCTCCCAGGTGTACTGCCCGGTCCGTTCCCTGTCCATTCCCTGTCCATTCTCGGTCCATTCCCGGTTTTCCCCCCTCTCCCAGGTGTACTGCCCGGTCCATTCCCGGTCCGTTCCCGGTTCATTCCCGGTTTTCCCCCTCCCAGGTGTACTGCCCGGTTCATTCCCGGTCCATTCCCGGTTTTCCCCCTCCCAGGTGTACTGCCGCGTGCGGCCGCTCAGCCGGGCGGACCAGGAATGCTGCATCGAGGTCATCAGCGGCACCACGGTGCAGATCCACCCTCCCGAGGGCTACCGCGTGTTCCGGAATGGCGAGTACCGCGAGGTAACGGAATTCCTGCCTGGAATTCGCCTGGAATTCCTGCCCAGTCCCTGGAAGTGTCCCTGGAGCAGCCTGGCTCAGCGGGAGGTGTCCCTGCCCTTGGCAGTGGGGTTGGCTTTAAGGTCCCTTCCCACCCAAAGTTCTGGAATTCCATGAACTCCATCCAGCTCCTGCTCTCCAAGCTTTCCCATGGTTTGTGGCACTTGCAGAGTGCAAAATCCGAAGGTTTTCCACCCAAAAACCCATCTAGGACAAAAAAAAACCCATCACTTCCTGATCCATCAAATAGATGGGAAGGACCTTAAAGCTCATCCCATTCCATGGGAATCCACCATCCCTGATTGATCCAGCCTGGCCTTGGACATTCCACAGCTTTTCCAGGTCGGAATCTTAGCTTGGATGTGGAATATTTTGTTTCCAATTTCAGCTGGAAAATTCCTATGGGAAGGGAATTGAGGGGTTTTCAAAGGTTTAAATAAAACAGGCAAAGCTTAATTAACGGAATTTTAATTTAGTTAAATGAGGTTTTGTTCAGAAATTTGGAATTTAGGCATTTCCCTAAGGAAGAGTTTTGGTGGAAAAATGGCCATCAAAAATTAAAATTTCTTAAAAATGTTATTAAAATAACTGATTTAAAAAATAAAAGCGGTTTCAAATTTAGGATTATTTAAATTGCAAAATTCATTAAAATAATTCATTAAAAAAAAAAAGCCAGCTTGAAATTCAAGCCTGAAAACTGAGGCTGGACTGGAAAAAGACCCCAAATAAACAAAATTCCACGAGGGAACAGCTCCACTTTGGCCACGGTGGATGTTCCTTTGCTTGGATTCTGGGGGGAGCTGAAAGGAAATTCCAGCTGTTAGCTGTCCTTTGGGAATTCTCTGCTCCATGGGGTCGCTCTGGCCACTCCAGGCTGTGGGGCTGGAATTCCAGGGTGGTTTTCCCTCTCCTGGCAGACCCAGTATTCCTTCAAGGAGGTCTTTGGCACGCTGGTGGTGCAGAAGGAGCTCTTTGACGTGGTGGCCAAACCGCTGGTGGAGGATCTGATCCGGGGCAAGAACGGTGAGCAGAGCTCCTCTCCTCTGTCCCCATTCCCAGGATTTCAGTGCTCCTGAGGCCTGCTTGGAATTGTGGCTCAGCTCCTCACACCACACCCCTGGAAGCTCTTTCTGGAATGGGAATCCTGGGGTGGTTTGGGTGGGAATGGATGATCCCGTGCCTCTGAGGTTTGGTTGGGATGGTGGCTCAGCTCCTCACACAAAATGGGACTTAGTGGGATTCTCTTGGGCTTTTCCCTTGAAGAAATGAAGGAAAAATTGGAAAAAAACCTTGGCAAATATTTAATTAATTAGGTAATTTTATCCCACTGAAATTCCCAATCTGTTCCTGCTGTTCTAACAAGAGACTTCAGCTTGGAATTCCCTTGGAAGCTCTTTCTTCTTCAGGAGTAGGAATTGGGTGGGAATGGGTGATCCACTGCTCCCAAGGTTTGTTTGGAATTGTGGCTCCTCACACCATGCCCCTGGAAGCTCTTTCTGGAGTTGGAATCCTGGGATGGTTTGGGTGGGAATGGGTGATCCCATGCCATGGAAGTGTCATTGGAGCAGCCTGGCTTAGCAGGAGGTGTCCCTGTCTTTGGCAAAGGGATTGGCTTTAAGGTCCCTTCCCACCCAAAGTTTTCTGGAATTCCATGAGTGATGCATCCAGATCCTTCTCCCTGCTCTCCCAAGTTTTTCCCTGGTTTGTGGGAGTTGCAAGTTGCGAAATCAGCATTTTGGGCTTTTAGCAAAGCGCATTTTCAACTCCCAAAAAAGCAAGAAATGGCAAAAAATCATCACTTCCTAAACCATCAAATCTATGGGAAAGGCATTAAAGCTCATCCCATTCCATGGGCAGGGAAACCTTCCAGTCATGCCATGGAAGTGTCATTGGAGCAGCCTGGCTTAGCAGGAGGTGTCCCTGTCTTTGGCAAAGGGATTGGCTTTAAGGTCCCTTCCCACCCAAAGTTTTCTGGAATTCCATGAGTGATGCATCCAGATCCTTCTCCCTGCTCTCCCAAGTTTTTCCCTGGTTTGTGGGAGTTGCAAGTTGCGAAATCAGCATTTTGGGCTTTTAGCAAAGCGCATTTTCAACTCCCAAAAAAGCAAGAAATGGCAAAAAATCATCACTTCCTA